TTTGTCTAATTTCTGAGTAAAATTCAGAGGTTTCAGATAAAGATAACTCACGTATTGGAAGACTTTGAAATCTACAGCTATAATTCAATGGTAAATCTCTAAACCTCGAAGATAATCTAGTAGATACCATAATCCAGATTCAAGTTAGAAGATTTGCAAATGATTATGCATATACCAAATTTATAGGTATGCAGCACACAACAAACCTAGCCTACATAATGTGGTAATGAAAATGGATTCTAAAGCATGAAGTATTGCAAAAACAAACAAACAAAAGGAACTTTAGCGGCAGAGGAAGAGGAGGAAGAAGCACCGAGAGAGTAAGGTTTTTCGAATTTGTCACTGTATTTGGTCCAATCTCCGTCTGGTATGTTCATAATCTCTCTAGCAAACTTCTGATCATGGATCCGACGGTCGAGATCCACCTTGAGTCTCTTCATCTCCTGTTGGCCAAACTCTCGGTATCTAATATACACATTGAAGGATTTAGTATAGTGAACAACTAAATTTGATCAGTAAGAACAGAAAGATTGCGATTTAAGGATCACTTACCTACGCTTTTCGGAATCTTCGGTTTCGAACATCATTCCAAACCTCATACCAACTGAGAGCTAAAACCCACATATAGCCTTGCGGTACTTAGCTAGAGAGATCACAATTGCAGCATAACCCTTGAGAATTCCGATAACAATGCCTCTACTAAACGGAAAATTTCTCATGTTGGTCACTAAACTGTTGTTCCAAACCACGCATTGCTATTAGCATCCACGATAAGTGCGATCCACAACTGCAATTTCCATTGAACAAAAAAAAAAGATCATCTTTTTTTGCATGAAAGCATTAACACATTTTCAATCGATCAACACATCAAATTCGGGCTTATTCTGCATATTCAAAGAAAAAGGTGAAAACTTTGACTCTTACCAAGAAAAGGGAAGACGAGGAAGAGTCTGAGTAACAGAGAGCCAAATGAGTCCATAGCCTAAGCACCGAAGAAGAGGAGCATCCATGGCGGAAACTTGGTACTGGCATAACTGGGAACGAAAGTGATGCTCTCTCCGACATTATTGACAACACCAAGTATCGTGAGTTGTTGATGATTGTAACCCAACACCGATTTCAGATTCCGACGGCGATTTCGAGAGAGAGAATCGCCGAAGGAAAAAGAAAAGATTTTTATTTTTTGTCTAATTTTTTTTTTAAGGAGACAAGTAACGGCTGACACGTGTCCGCTAAGAACCAGATCTTAAACCTCTTAATTAAAGACTGGTTTTGCATATAACAACCAATTTTGATTTATTTTTAATATGTTTTTTATTAAAAACTTGTATTAAGAATCAGGGTTGAACATGGTCTTATGACCAAAAAAGGGCTCCCGCCTAGGATTCTCTCAACTAGTAAAATATACTTTTTTAGTTTTTTATGAAACAGGATTTCACTTATGTCATATTTTCTCGGGTAGTTAAATGTTGTGTATATCAATTTTATGTTTAGTTATGCGAATCTAAGACCATTATGAAAAGCTGGACCATTTGCACGCACACCCAATGGCTCCATACAGTAAAATCTTATTCCTATGAAAGAACTTTAACTTAAGTAATTAAAGAATTTACGAGTGTTTATTTGAATATTGTCGAGAATTTATATATACAGTTTCAAAAATACCAATATTTAAAACACCATAAATTCATATTCTGCTTATAACAAACCCATTAATTATGAGATTAATAAATATTTTATACTCCAGTAAACTAGTTAAATATCCATCTTTTTGAAAATACATGACACTATTTAAAGTTCTAACCTAATAAAACTATGAAAAACAAAACCATCAAAATAAATTCGATTTTATCAGAGCCCCACCACTAGAAGCAGAAAACTGATTGAAGGAAAGTAAAGAAGGCACGCGTTGTTCTGGCTTACTAGATATCTGGGAACTATATAAGGAAATAACTGTAATCACCTTTATTAAAATTACCATTCTCAGGAAACACAATCATAATTACTTCTTTTCAAAAATACCAAAAGTTCCAAAAAGGTTTTTTCATTTTAAATTAAAGTTGATTTGTTTGTGGAGTATCCAATCAATTGAAAGCAATAAAAATGTCGTACCACGTCCTTTTTTCTGCCCAATCTCTACGCACGAGGAGCTTTGTAAAAACTCCAATTATGTTTTTCGGTTACATTTCGAATTGTAAAATTTGAATTCACCTTGAACAAAATAATTTCATGTGATTGTTTTGTAGATATATATAATATATAAACACAATACACGATGCTATAGTGAACAAGAAAATTCCGAGCAATCCTAATTAACCTTTATAAAACTTGCTTTAGATGCGTTTACGCATTAATGAATTTGTGCAAGAACAACATTTTGATAGAACAATATCTTCCACTCTTTGTTAAACTTATTATTAACATTTTTTACACAAAG